TTTTGTGCAAAATTAAGTTCTGTGAAGATCTGTACCATATTTTGGAAAAAAATTGCGTATAAAATGGTTAATTGCTAAAAACAATCCCAATATCAGACAACATAGAGAAAGAAGAAAGAGATCAGATGCAGCTGAGGTTTTCACATGAGAAACTAAATAGTATGTTCTTAAAGCTCCAGGAATACATTCTTTCAAAAACTAGAATGCACTTTGGTCATTATTAAACATTAGTACAGAGGCAAATAAAATACAAAATGTTTGTGTTACTTTATATATAAAAATATTTTTATACCACATAAGTTTAAGATACATTACACTGTTTGCTCATCTTTATTTTTTTTCTTAAAGATTTGAAGCACTATTCAGACCTGTGTAACCTAATTAGTTTTTGCATTTTTCCATATAAAGCCACTGATTTTTGGAGTTCCTGCATTGTTTTAGAAACACAAAATGCATGAATACTTGACCCTGGTGATATTAATCCTCCCCATACAACTCACAAATGCAAACGCTGCTCCAGGTTAACCCTATCGGGGTGAACATCCCCATTTGTCATACTGAAAAAAGCAGGAGCCACTTGGGGACCATGTCCACGTGGGAGAGACGGGAAGCGCGAGGCTGGCGCTCGGGGGAGCCCGAGGGCAGGATGCCCACGAGGGCAGGATGCCCACGGAGGAGGCACGGGGGTGCGGGGAAGGGGGGCATCTCAAGGAACAAACCTGCAGGGCATCAGGCTTCCCTGCTGCTCCTGCCACCAGGGGCACCGGGGGGTTGTGTTCAGCTGCTCTTAAACTGCCATGTGGTACGGAGGGCATATACTACAGTGTCCTACAGGAGAGCATCCACCCAGCTGCTGCTCCGGCATTCGCAGCATTCTCCTCGCCAGTAACTTATCACTTGCTTAAATATTCAGCTTCAAGACAGAAAATATACTGCTCCATAGTTCACCATAATATATTCCACTTAATATACATTATATATGTATATATATATATATAAAGTTTCTCATTAAAAGTAACAGTAAAAAGTGCACATATTGAGCATGCACAGAGCTGTGCAGAACAGCCCAGTATTTCAAATAAATACAATATTTAATTTTATCAAAATATCATACAGCATGGTAACCATTTACAATTATTGCTCTAATAAAAGTGTTATCAAAGAGCACTTGTTGATCTGTTATATAATACTTATTATTATCCCAGGATATTTAAACTGCAGCCTACAGCAGTTCAGATCCTGGAATTCCTCAAAATATTAAAAATTCCCCACTTAGTTCTAATAGTAATATAAAATATTTCTGCTACCTGTCATACTGTATTGTCAGTACTTTATTTTTGTATATGTTTCACTTTCTATTGCAACCAAACATCTAATGATGCTATGTTGTCCTCAGAAATGAATGGTGCAAATGAAATGTTCTAGGCAAGTTATATACTTAATCAAAATAAAATGACTTCCATATAGCATTACTATAGCTAAAAAAAAAATAAGATATAAATGTTCACCATTGGCTTCAGCTTCAACAACAGACATAATAATTTAGTGTAGTCAATTATGGGGATATTCTCAGAAATGAGGGTTTTGACCCTTTCTAAAACTGACCCTTTCCAAACTAAACAAATGTGTTTGAAAATAAAATACAAGTATCAACTAAAATGAACATGAAACAGCAAAAAGATGAAATAAATACAAAGATTGCACAAGTCAGATGTAAACACTTCAATTTTCCACACAATATCCTTGAAGAGGTTGTAGCTTCTGAAATATAGATTCAGTGGCTGCTTTGAGGCAGTTTTGTCAGTCAATGAGCCTTTCGGTAACACTGTGTTATCTCATCTTCGTTATATATTGTCATGATTTGATCTTCCAGAGCTGAAAAAGTTAAAGCAGGAAATCAACATTATTTCCCATCTCAGCTTTCTATTCACCAAAACTGCAATGCCACTTTGTTTATTCTTACTGCCGCAGTGCATGTTCAATGATATACAAAATAGCTTCTGCATTCCTTGTTTTGCACTAGGAAAAGAAATCAGGCAGATGTAGGAAAACACAACAGCCAATGGTAGCTAAGGTCCTTCATAGCTTAATTCTTGAAATAGTTTCCAGAGTTTAATTTAGAGTTCAGATAGGTCTAGCACGTAGACTCTGTAATAGGAATGTCCTTAAATACTCACAGACTGACACTAGTTAAGGCTGGTCATGGTAGTAAGGTTAAATAAGGTCTTTGTATTTATGTATACAAGTGCCTCCATATTTCTGAATTCTTCATAATTATTTGCATAAATATAGCAAGAAAGTCACAAAAAAAAAAAAAAAAAAAAGAGGTGCTTGGACAAATGCATCACATTTCTTCTGATACAGTTCAAATTTCAAAACTGCTTTCAAACAGCATGTCCTCCAGTTAATGCGTAAAGATACCTAATTCAGCTAATGTAACATCCTGAACAGCACGGTGGAAGAGGGCATACTTAGCAGTTACCTTTAGATTAAATCCAAGCAAGTCACTGATGACACCAGAAACGGCAGAGAGGATGACGACTTGGGTGATGTTGTAGAGCAGAGGGTTCATTGTAAGCCCGTATAACCTAAAGGGACTGTCCAGTTCCTAGAGACAGGAAGCATCGACACCATTAGGAATCACACACTATACACGTGTGTATTGCTATTGGTTTGTTCTTTTAAAAAATCTCAAACAGGCTTTTCTCCAATAATCACGACTTTTCATACCATTACATTTATCCGTATACCTTAAAAAATATCATGCCCTTGTTGATTTGCCTACTGCCTGCCTTTTTTAGCATACTGTAAATTGCATTTCTTCTAATTAACAGATAGTAATGGAGTACAACTAATAGATAGTAATGGAGTTTATCAGCAACATTCATATTAACTGACCATGGTAACAGCAATTAGTTGTGTTACAGGAAGTAATAAATTGCTTTAACCCACACTGGGGTTCACTGTGTTGTATTCTCTACACGCAAGAACTCTGGCCTTTGAGTTCAGAGCCTGAATAAGACCAACAAACTGCCATAAAACAGACAAGATTACTAAGCTCCACTGCGGAACAGCTCTCATTAAATATGGGTACAGAAGGCTCCTAAAATAATGTTGTAACTTTCATGATTGTTATATTTTGTATCATATTTTTGTTCACGTATGCACTGAACTACAGTGTATTGTTTAGGAAGTCCTTAAGCCACAGCAGAGGAAAACACTCTCCTATAAAACCAATGTGCAAGAAAACAGCCAGCACGTTCACTCACTGCTGACTGCTGCTCTCTAAGTGGCCCTTCACAAATTTGGAGGCTACCTGTCTAGACCAAGTAATATTTTATTCCTGTAAGTGAATAAACATGAAAGCAGAAACCTAGTTCCCCAATCCCAAGGGGCCATCCTTTTACTACTCCTTACAATTTCCCAGAAATTGCTTTTGGTTTCAAAACAGCTAAGAGAATGAAAAAAAAAAAAAAAAAAAAAAGCAGAACTCACCATTGAAAATTCTTCCACCATGACAAAAAGGTAACTCATTATTATGAAAAATTAACAAAAATGACCTAATATAATTCTCTTCCTCTGGCATTATTTTTGAGAGTTAAAAAAAAAAACCTAATAAACTAAATAAAGAATACAACTTTCTGTATTTAATAACTATTTGCAATCCACAATGATGGCAACATAACAGACAAGTGTATGAACAACATGTCACCGTGACAAGAGCAGCAGAGTAGATTTAAACCAAGGCATCCTGTACTGCCTGCACAAGTAACCCAAGTGGCTCATTAAATATCTGTTCTATTCCTTGGTTATGTACAATACTGTAATACTATGTTAAATCTTACCTTCAGTAATTTAGTAGCAAGTTTTAAAACATTGTTCACTAGTGTCAGTTCCTCCTTCTTATTAGGCTTTTTCTCCATTTTCAAGTACAAGTTTATCTGATTTAAATAAAATATAAGTATCATCATTTAGAATTAACAGGAATTTATTTAGAAACATTTAATAATAAGACCAAGTCTTATTACTGTTAGTGTCTACTCAACAGCCACATGACAGAACAGTAATTACACTTCCACAAATTAGCATTTTCTGGCTTTTTAATGTTGAAGAACAAATACTAACCCAATATTGCAGAAAAAATGCAATATTCTATACATAACAAAATACAATTCATACTATTACAACAATTTTATACTTGTAACTTCATTGCCACTTTACATTTTTATGTTACTTATTCACCAATCAGGCAAGAAAAACACAAGTAGATATTTAGGGTCTGTATGACTTATTTTTTCTTCTTTGATTAGCCTCTCTGGTTTGTTGATTCATTTCCACAGGTCCACAAATGAGGACCTTACAGATTTAACACGCCAAGAAGCTACTGAACAGACTGAAATGGTAAAACATGACGCACTTTTGCTATCCTTGACGAGGCTAAAGTTGGCTATTTTTTATTATGTATTAAAAGTAAATTAAGGGAAAAACAGGTTGGCTTGAAAAGCTGTGAACTTCTTATTTTAAGATTATAACCTTCAACAACAACAACAAATAGCAGTTTAGCAAAACTTTGAAATCCTTCAGACAGAGACTCTTACAAAAGGGGCAAAGTTACAGAAATAAAATGAACTTTTAAGTGTCTTGCTTTTAATTATTGAAATAAGGGTAATGGACATCTAAACAAAGTCTCTTTAATATAAAGTTTCCCTGAAAAGGTCACTGCAATTTATACAACGAGATTAAAATCCAAGAGTATGTCTAAAACATTCCAAGGTGTGTTGGGCTCCCCATTCCATTCTTAGAGGCAAAGGGATTCCAGACCTTAAATACAACTACTGATTTCAGCAACACAAACGTCTGAAAACGGGAATTAACTAAACTCTTGGCAACTCTGAAAAAGCAATAGCTACAAATCCTAGCAAGGGTCACATATCTTTGACAATTATATGACTTCATTCTTAGTTTATGAAAAAAATGGCAGTCTCCAACGTTCGATATCATACTTCAAAACACGAGGGGAGTCTGAACACCTGCAAGCACAACCATCTAACTGTTTAGAGGATGAACCTGGCAAGATGGCAACTTTGATCAGGACACGTTTTGCATTTTACACAAAGTTAAAAAAGTTCAGAAGGACTTGAAAAATTACACACAGACGGCACGCAGTCAAAAAGTGCCTTAATCTAAAAATGATAGGTAAAAATGATAGGTCTTTTAGTTTCCCAGCATGACTCCTGATCATTAAATTCAGAGGTTGAACCTACAAGCAGGAAGAAGCTGTTGGAATTCTGCTGATGGAAAGTGAAACTTGCAATTTTATCTTATCCATGGAGGTTTCTTAGGATTTTTTTTTTTTTTAAAGTCATAACAATTATCAATAAGCCTAATCCACTGATGTCTGATTTTGGGGCACAACAGTTCAAATGGACCCCATCCCTTGCATGCACGACAGACACACACAGTACTTATTCCATTAAAATTCAACTGAATTTAAGTGAGTGCCAGTCCATCGATATGAAAGGCCAAAAAGTCAGAATTTTACACATCTTTCTTAAGGAAAAGGTAAAGAGAGTGTTGTTACCAGCTAGCATGAATAACTCCTCCAAAACAAGTCAGAGTTTCAACTAGGGTAGTATGCATTCTTTCTTTTTATTTTGTGAATTATATATTTGCTCTAGATTTCATTTCACAAAGATCTTTTGTGGAAATACTAGGACAAACTGGATTCAATATGAAAACTAAGCGTTTGGTGATCCAACAATCTCTGAAATAAATGCTCAAGTACTGGGGTCAAAACAATATTACTTCTTTCAACAGCTATGCTGGCTGAAAACGTTCAGCTCCCAGCCTCACTGTGTGAACTCAGCCTTATACAGTTGGTAGAATCTTGTGGTTCCTTGCAGTGAACAAGCTCAAATGCCTCATTTTGTCTACCTAAGAGCTGACTCTAATGAATAGCATAGTATAGGAACCCAGGTAAGCAAAATAGACCAGAAATTCTATTTCTTTCCAATCTGTTTCCAAAATTTCTCCTCTGGTTTTACTCCAGGAACAGAGGAGACAAACTTCACTGGGATATTATTTATACTCTGAGGATCCAAAGGACAATGCAGAGCTCTCCAGTCTCAGGAACACGTGGCTCTGGAACGGAGGATCACTCTGAACTGCACATCAAACCCAGCAGGTGCGACGCACAAAGGCCACTAACCCAAGAGTTGCACTCCACAAACTAAAATCTACACCTGGCTGCCTCAGCTACACGTGTGGACACTGCAAATGAATTTCCCTTGTGTAGTGTGAAAAATCCAAAGAGGGTTTCACATTACCCTTTAGTAAATAACCCTGAGGAAATCAAGAATGTCCAGTTAAAGAAACAGACATAAAAGCAAGTAACACTCTGCTTCACTTTTGAGAAGTAATGCTGGGAAAGAGAATACCCAACCGTTACAGAGGTTAAATTTCAGATCAGTTTCTTTCTGCACACCTCAAGTGATGTTACATTTACTATGTTAAATATTTATCATGTTTGAGTAGAACTGAGTTAATTTGAAGAATATTTTAAACTAAGACCTTAAAATGAGAGCCAAAAAAGTACTAAATAGTTTTAACATACCATATTACTTTCATCAGAAAAACTAAGCAGAGGGGTTGGCAATCAGCTTGAAGTTTGTTTAATAACAATTTTTGTTGTTGTTATTGAATGCAAAGAACTCCCAGAAGCAAAGGAATGATTTGTTTATTTATTAAAGGTTTTGATTAAAATGATAATAAGTGAGACTCTGAAGGCTTTAAGTTAATGTCTCACTACCACTTTGCCTTGCAAGCTGGTAACTAAACGGAATATATACCACAATATTTATGCTGTCTGCTGCTCAAAGAAATCTCAAAGCAAAATAATCAACTTCCTATAATTTTCTGTATGAACATTTCTTGTTATTACTCTACTTTGAATATCCTGAACATTTCAAGTTTTCCTGTAAGATGCCACTCCATCCACTATGCTCTCAAACTCAAGAGATTAAGATTAGAAAAATCCAGCAGCACAAAAAGTTATGTCAGACTCTCACCTGCTCAGTAAGTAATATTGAGGTATTGCTGTATTTTTTACTGGTTTCAGACCCAAGAGTAACAAATCTTAGGAGAAAAAGGGTCAGTGAAATGCACCAAATTACTAGCTCCCAATTGTAGTGACAATCAAGGAAGATCTCATGCATGTGAAGTAGCTGAAAGTAAAAGAGAAAAATTAAATTTGAATTCAGAGTACTATTTATGCTACAATATGAGAAGAGCTATATACCACACAAATCTAAGGAAAAAATCACACGCAGTAAATAATGTGGTTATTTTTAAGCATAAAAGAATTTTGAAGTAAAATTTAAAAAAATCAACATCTTGTTTAAGATGAGATTTTCCTAGACAGGTTATCAGATTTGAGAAATGTATACTTTGCAAGGCATATCTTTCTTTTCGTATCTCTGGAAAAAAAACATACAATATTAAATTCAAGTTCAAACTGTTGAAGACACTATATGGACTGAAAAACAAAATAACATCTACAAATATAATGATTTATATGGAAAACCGAATCCAAGTAGAATCATTACTAAATTATATTTTTATTATTTTCTTTTATAATTAACTACCAGGAAAACACATTAGTGTTAACTGGGGAAGAAAGGGGAAGAAAAACACAACCAAAGGCATTCAGAAGCTTCCCTGTACACTGAAGCAGAATCTCAAGCAATTGTCTCAAGTACTGCAATCCTACTGAAGCAGGAGTTTCCTTCCTGCCAGATATTCCACTAGAGGGCAAGCTGACACAGCCAACCACTTTGGTCCCTACTTTTCACAAAGAAATCATCAACCAAGGTCAATCTCGAGGGAGGTTTTTGTGGAGGGGTGGCAAAATTAGGTTTTGATGCAAAACGTTAGAAAAATCCCCATTTCCCAAAATTCAAGAGGGACAATGAAAGAAAATACTGATTAGAAAAAATATTATACCACACTAGGTAATTATGCTGTCAATAGGTTCCTTCAGCTTTTACAAGATGGCTAGTATAATATTCTAAAATAGGTAAAACATACAAGGAACTTAATCTTCTGAAAAGCTCTAATAGCAGTTACTCATTTTCACGTGGTGTTTCACGCTAGCAGGAGTCATCATGTAAAAAGGTGGCTGATTACTTCCAAAAAGTACCAACTGAGTTATGGCTGTTTATGCAATTAAGATTTCCTCACCTGTGCACAACAGATAACTATGACATCGACTGAGCGCTGAGGACCTCGACGCTGAAAATAAGAGAAAAATTACCTTGTCAGCACTGATATTTGGTGGATCCAGCTGGATTCCCACCTTGAATCAAGCTTTATCCTGGCTTGCAGTTCTGTAATCTAAGTTCCAATCACCATATCAAAACTAAATAATACAGTTGCATTTGAATACCCTTTAAGGAACATGAGATTAACCCAGCATAGGCATCTCAAGGAGACTACAAGAAAATAAAATAGTCATTACTTAATTTTTTCAGTCAGCTCCTTTGCTATATGAAGTAGCTTACATTTAGGCAATATTCTCTGAACAAATTCAGCATAGCACTGGACCTTACCAAGTATTAAACCAGTGACAACAAAGAGAGACAGTTCAGCTTAAATACAAACAAACTGGTAATACCAGACTAATTGTTCTCAGTCACCAAATTCTGAAGACTACCAGGCCTAAAAATAAAGGCAGGAACTGAATATTCACATGCAGAACCCATCCTAAAGAACATCATTTACTGAATTTGGTTTTTGAAAAGGAATCTGGGGGCATGTTTTGAACAAACGCCAAGTCCAGCAGCAGCATGGAGAGAAGGTGGCCTTGCTCCCCAGCTGTTTCTTTCCACCTCTTTCACTGTGCTGCCACAAGCATTTACACACCTACCGACCAGTGAACTGAGTAAAGTAACAGATGGAGGTGAAAATTATTATTCTCAACAGTCTATTTTTCAGTTTGATCAGTTGCCTACACACCTGCTTCAGAGCCCTGTCGGTCAGGGTCTGATATAGCTGTTTTATGTTGTTCTTCACTACTATTACATAAATGCTTGTGGTGGTGCAAGAGGAGATGAAAGTCACTGGCACAGTTTTGGGGAAAGAAGGCAAGACATCCAACAGCAACGCTAGTGTGCGTAGCTTGAAGCATCACAACTCATTCTCATGCAATTTTTGCCTAAGCAGTGTTACCTTTCTTTCCTCCCACTCAACTCCTTACAGATTACACAGAAAAAGATGCAAGTCTCTCAAGTGTGATGGTTAAAGGACACATCTTTTTGCAACATCCCCAACCGAAACTTCCGTTACGCAAGGGATGCGATACTCGTGAGGCCTGTAAATGCGCTGCCTAAATTCCCCTAAAAATAATGTAGTCTTTCAAAATTTATTTGGGACTTTACATTAAAGCTTCTGCTTATGGCTTCCCGCTTTTTACACTGTAACTTTATGTTTTTATCATCCTTTATCTAATTCTAAAATAATTCGGAGCAGATTTCATCTTGAGACATTTTATATGAGAGGGGTAGGAAAGAGTATATACCTTTAGGTAGGACCTGAGAGAAAGCCACATTTTTATATTTTGTACTTTCTTCAAACGGAAGTGAGGAACCTCTGACTTTTTTGCCCTCCTGGCAGATGTTAGATGACCAAAGAGTTTGGCAAAAAGAAGTCTCTGCAAAGAAAAAAAATCTGAAAGTTTAATTGCGAACAACTTGCAATAAGTTTTAACATGTTTATTACTTCAGTTAGCAGCTCTCTGCCTTGGAACTGGGTTTCTAGCAAGGCAGAAGAGTTTTTATTTGGCTAAGGTCTAGACTGAACTGCTTTGAAATAGAACTGAAGTGGTTTGAATGAAACACATTGTTGGAAAACAGCAGAAATTTATAGAGCTCTTTTACTGAAACTTTCTCCTTGTGGAGAATAAAGACAACCTTGGACATGACTAGAAGCTGGTCAATAAATTGAGACAGAAATCTGAAATAAAACATACATGTTTTCCTCAAAAATGCTTTCCAGAAAAAAAAATAGCTACCAAGACTGCAGAAAACTTCTGTATGCTGCAACTGAATAAATCCCTTATCTGTAAACCCACTGAAGCATTTGTCATAGGTTGATCTATATAACTTAGCACAATGAAAAACAGAAGTTGTAAATATTCACAAATAACAGAACTCAAACATAACCATTTGTTTTGCTTTGGCTGAGACATCTTGCCTCATTATCCATACCTGTTTGTATGTTCTCTCTGCCACACACAGCAGGAAAAAGAAAATCCACACCAGAGACACACGGACTACAAAACTTATAACCACCATCGAGAGAACCAGTAAGTCTCCGTTTGACCCAAATGCAATAATACAAAGTTCAGCGGCAGAATGTGTAGCCAGCTGCTCCAAATCTTTAGCTTGGGAAAGTCGAAAGACAAATGGCATCAAACCCAGGATTAAAGACACGACATTTCCAAAAATCTGGTAACCAATTCCTGGTATGTAGTTGTTCACCTAGAAATAAAAGCAGAAATTTAGCAAAAAATCTTTAATTTTGCAGTAAATCTTGTCCTACTGATAGTACTACTTTACTATCAAAAAGATAATTTTATTACTTTATACCTTGTATGAAAATTCCAACCAAGTATGTTCATAATCTGCTTCTAAGAAAAAGGAAGTCCCTCACACCGGGGTTAAACTAAAGATAGTAGCACAGAATGAAGTTTGAGTGCTTAATGCACAGCAAACAATATCACAAATCATTAAAAACCATTAACTGTTAATAACATAGCTATTATATATAATTCAAAACATAACATTGCAGTAATAATACTCCAGTATATTGTATTAAAAATGCATCCGATACTGAATTAACAAAGAACACCAGTCATTCTGACTGCTGTGATTACAACCCTAAATCTCACTCTTATTTGTGTTTTGCTTTCAGGTTGTATGCTTTTTAAAGGGATCACGTCTGCCAAGGTGTTTATAGAGCAGAGAAAACTGGAGGTGCACTGTGCTGGCCATGCCTTTGTTGGAATTTACTTCTATTGCCATTGCAACCTGAAAAGTCAGATAGAAAGGTCTGTACGAAGCTTGTGAACAAACCCTGCTTTCTAAGAGGCTGGAGAAAGGAAGCATCAATTTGTAAGAGCTATTGGTAGCTCTCCTAAGCTATGCTTGGAATTTGTGTTCAGCCCTATAACATGTTGGACTGAAATATAATATAAATTAAATGCTTTTCTACTTCCTTTCTTAAGAGGCATAGTTGGAAAAAACCCGAGGATAGGGATGAAGGAAGTCCAACATCCCACTGCTCCTCTTAGAGGTTTGTTTCCTAGAGTGAAGAGCCTTCTCATCCACACTTAACTTCAGCATCCAAATACTCACAGCTGTATTTCTGATATATTTCTAACCCCACATATTAGCTGTTCGTAGCAGTTGAGGACACAAATAGAATTTGTGGAATATACCACTTCTGAATAATGAAACAAAGATCAACTGTGTTAGTAAGTACCTAAAAACCCAAATGCATCTTTATTGTCCTACTACTCCAAGTTTGATAACTCTGGTAACTAACTAGTGGTAACGAAGAAAACAGAGGGACGTAAACCACAGAACAGTAATGCTAATACTTTTAAGAAGTTATTTTTGGCAGTGTTTAGACTCTAAATATAATATTTGCATAAAGTGAAATGAGTACTCACTCTGTTCATTATCATGCCACTGATTTCAAGCACAGACATATCTGCTTTCTTGCAGTCATTACCCTCCCATACAATTGCACTTATCTTTTCTAGTCCTGGGTTCAGACTATGGATCCAGGGCAAGTGACTCTGGGGAAGACAAGACATTCCATCAGCAACAAACATCTATTCTTGTGCCACTACTTTTTTGTCAGCAATATACTGACAAAAAAGCCTTTAGCCATATATAAATATTGCTGTATATCATTTAGTACTAATATATGTTAAGACACATTCAACAAATATTGACCAGGAGTCCCGTTTATAGAGTGAGCTAGAAGGGATTACATTTCTTATAATACTATATTTTTGTCCTACAGTATTCCTTAAAAAAAAAAAAAAAATCAACTTTTATTTTTTTAAATGCTGCACAGAAACAGAATCCCCTTTCCTCATATTGTTTATACCAGTCTCTAGTTAGTTGAGGTTAATAGTTCACTTTATTGCTCAAACATATCAAAGAGGGAGGTATGGAAAAGACCTACTTTAACTAGCTTTATTTTCACAACATATATAACGGAATACATTATTTTCTGATTAATAGCAGTTTGAAAAATAGTGCTTAGGGTCAACTTCTTTATTATTATCAAAAAGAATCTTTGTTCTGAATAAAGGTGCCCTGTCCCGGACAGGACTCCATCTGGCAAAACTCAGGCAGGAGTTGGGAGTTTGATCAATGCAGGTAGGAGCTGCTGAGAGCTCATCTTAATCACAGACTCCAGTGTCTCCCTCTAGAGGGAGCAGCAACACCAGGAGTTAAACTTCCAAAATTCCAGCCAGAATGAAACAAAAAACACAGCTGCAGATGAACAAATTCGATTCCCTACTCAAAGAATTCCCATTTAAGCTTATATTTATATGTTTATAAGGAATGTAAACAAACAAGCAAAAAAGCCTAAAAATAAACCAAATAATCAACATATATCTCTTTTTAAGTTCAGGCTGTGAGCAAAATTTGTGTCTTCTGAAAATATTTTTTTTAATTTTAGCTAGTATTAACTAGCTAACATTAATCCCTTACAATACATTCCTTAATACTGAGGTATCCACTACCAACATTTATTACATGTCTAGCCAGAAGAATGTTTAATACTCTCATCCATATTTAAATGGTTCAAATAAACAAATATCGTGCACGAAAAAATAATAATAAAAAAACAACACAGGAACTGTAAATCGATCAGTACCTGTCCTGAAGGAGATTCTACATTAGTTTCTTGGTTTGAATTAGAATTTTAATTTAGAATTAATATTCAAATGCTCAAATACTCCACAGGCTATTTCAGTATATTGTCTGTGCTTCATTTGACACATTAAGGGCTGAGTTGTAGAAATCAAATTTTCCTTTTTTTATGAAATCGTTTTGGCTTTATTGCTTTCATTTCCTGCAGAGCTTTCTCACAGGTATATATGGTCATATGAGCATATGATAAGACTGAAAGCGTATGTGCTGTAAAAGTCAAAATGGGCGACTCCATCAGCCCACCTGATGAAAGGGGTCATCCCGATACTCCTTCTTCCCCGCTGGGTTGAGCTGGGGGCTCTCCACGTCCGTCTCGCTGGAGCAGGACGAGTGGCACTCGGCGCAGTGCAGCAGGTCCTCCCACAGCACGTCCTCCGTCTCCGACTCCGGCCTGGCGCTTTCAGAATCCTGTCTGGAACTCGAGCACCGCGAGCTGCAGCTCGTACCCGATTTAGCTGTATCCTGACGTTCAAACAAGCACTGGCATTAATGCAGCTTTTGTACTCTACACACTTAACAGGCCAGTTATAAAGGCCAAATAAAGTGAATCCATGTTCATCTACTTTTTCTGTTCCAATCAATTATATTTCTAATCAGAAAAGATTACATGCCTACTAAAAAAGTGCCAAAGAGAATGGTTGCACACAGTTAGACCCAATACAAACATATGGTAGTCTGTAGTCCCTGATCTGTTGAGAAGGGATCATATAATGAAGAAATAAATACTAATAAAAAGTACTACAAGGCAATAGGCGGTTTTCAGATTTCTAAAACTCATTAGTTCAAATTTAAGTAGCAATTCATCTAGCCACATAATCCAATTATGTCTCAAACATCTGATTTCATAAGGCATAAATTAAGTTTCTTTTAAAAATGTATTAGAACTTCATTATTCCAGTGACAATGAGCAAGACAAAAATGAGACTTAAAGCCATATTCACCAGATTGAAATTGTAATAGAGGAATGTGACCAAGAAGGAGAAAAGTGTCAATCACAAATCATTTTAAATTAACTGGGTATTTTGATTTTCTGTCTCTAGTGGTTTTGGCTGAACTATTTAGGTAATAATCAAAATGTCTTTCTTTGCTTAGTGTATTTTTTTAAATAAATTCACATAAAAAGAATTAAATTCATAAAAAGAGAACAATTTGGATGAAAGCAACAGTAAGAGAGAGAGCTGCAGTTATCTCTTATTTCATCAGTTCCATGCATACAAACTGAGAATTGAAGGAACCAAGACCCAAGTTTACTGACCAATACTTGGTCTATATGTAATTTACACTTAATACCTAACTTCTTAGTTGTTTATTTTAATAAAGGGTAGTTGAGAAGAAAGCGTCTTATGTTCAAATTTTACCCACATCTTAGATAATCCTACAGAAAAAATATCAAATTTGAGGCATTCAAATCCCTCCATACTTATATATATATAAAAAATCTAATGTTCTCTTTGAAACAAAAACGCAAAGCCTTGAACTTGCTAGCAGAATCAAGCTGTTTCCTACAAGTTGTTAAGTAGTCTTAAAAGCAGTATCCTCCTACTCATCACCACCTCTGGCAATTCTCATTCCCTCTTAAAGCAAAATTTCTTTCATATGTCTTTTTTGAAGCCTATCCACTTTTCTAAACTGGAAAAAAAACAAATCAAATAATTTTAGCAGGATCAGTAATTTAATGTGATTTTTAATGCTTTTCTATTTGAAGGGTTCTTTGTTCTTGCTAAAAATCATGCTTAATTTCTAAATATTTCTTTACAGTATTGCTCATAGAGGATAAATTACTTGCTCTGAACTCTAGTCCTTTCTCTCACAAAGTGGGGGATAACCTCAGTGCAGAAAGACATTATGTGAACTATCATCCATTCTTAAAAATAACTAAAACAGTTAAGGGCTTTTTACCAAACACAGTCATTACAGGGTTCTGAGTCCTGGGTGAATAAGAACCATGAAAATATTTGCTAAAACAAAGTTGAGAATTCAAAATTAAGTTGAGAAACATTAAGATAAAGGAAAACTTACTACAGAAGTCAGGGGCGTATCCACCAACTTCTACACTAAAATATACGTATTTTGAAACACAAAGAAAGCTTTCATGGATTTGAGAACTTCTGTTTCCTTTGCTTTGTAGCTATGTGGGGGAGTGAGCTAGTAACAACAACTGAAGCCTCCTCTTCACGGCATCAGGCACAAGCAAATGAGCAACACGTGTAAAGTGCTACTGCCAAAGCTGCCCGCAGAGCCTGCGCAGGCTCCTCGGTTCTGCACACTCTTCCCTAGCCAGCATCTTCAGAGTCTGCAAACTCTAAAATACTTTATGCAAGAAAAAAGATATATTTAACTTGAAAAAATGTGACTGCTCTTCTTGCTTTCCATTTCTTCATATCCAATCCTAGCAGCTGCACGAGTGTACAGCCAAAAGGCATCTGCTGAAATACAGATCTGAAATATTTCTCAGCATTTGCCTGTTTAGACAGTGATCTGAAACTAACTGATCCATGCCTTGTGCACAGAGCATTTCAAACAGCCAGCCCTCTAGATCTTTCTAAATTAGACTTCTATGAAACACATGAAAAAAATGAAACCGATAATTATTATGTTTTTTATGCAAAGCATAAATCTCCATGCTTTGTAGCAATCATCCCAGAAAGCAGTAGGATTTGGACCTTGTGCTCCCTGTTAAACCCTGTGTGCCCTGTAAGTGGCATCTATTCGGAGCTGTAATTACTCTTTACATTCTTTTCCCACAGTTCTGGAAGAAAAGTTGACATAAATAGTCTGTTTCTAAAACAAACAAATAAATAAATAAATGTCCTTTTTCAAAATCCTCCTATATCTGCTTATCTGCTAGGTTGCAAACCATCAGCAAAAAGGTTGTACACTTCTTGAACTAGGGGGAAAAAATAGACACTTTTCTTTCAATCTGAGTATGCCTATTATTAGTTTTGATGTCTTCTAGACCCTTAATTTTTTTTGTGTACTTTTTGTGTTCTTTTTGCAATACAGTAACAAAAATAATTGAAATTTCATAGCAATATTTCAAATGACTGTTTTAATAAACACCGAGAAATGATAATATAGATGTATAGTCCATCTCTTCTATTGAGACTTTTCCTGAAGAAAGCTACAAACTGAATGGACACCAAACAATAAACACTACCATCAAGAAAATGTGATATAACAAAAATATGCCAATTATCAGAATGGCAAAGGGAGCGAGAAAAAGAGTCTTTCTGTTATGAAGTCACCGTTTCCCTAAAGAAACCAAGTTTCCAGAGGAGACATGGTGTCAAAAGACATCAATTGTTAGCCATGTTCTGATGAGATCTAAAGAAGATATTTTTGAATGCTTACAACAAATGGATAGAAGGAAGCTCAAAGAAACTAAATCATAATAAAAAAATCAAAACATTGTTTTTGGGGGAAAAAAAATCTCTTTCTCCCAAGAAAATCATTTCCAATTAATAGTCTTCTAAAATCCAAAGGTTGAGGGAAATAATATACCTATAGAGAGAGAGAGAGAGATGCAAAAAGAGAGCACCAGGTGTTGACAATCTACAGAAGAGGCAAGGGTAAAGCACGTACCTCTAAAGGATAGTGTTTCTTATAATGGAGAGATTTCCTGTTTCGAACTGTGCAGTCACTGGAAGTGCGTTCTCCATGGCGCCGGAGGGAATATCCAGGTTCAGGCCCTTCCTCACTTGAAACTTCATCTGACAAATTTGTTACTGTCCTGTGAGTATCCTGGTTTAAACAATACAGTATTAGTAAGACACATACTGATACCAAGTCTTGTTCTGAGCTATTAAAATCATTTTTTTTCCTGCAACATTGTTATCAAGTCATTTGAACTAAAAATTATTGCATTTTCAATTGCAAAAAACAAATGTTACAGCAAATTTTATAAAATAGAGATTGAAATATTGAAACAAGCAATTCTCAGAGAATAAAGGGTAGTTCATATTGCACTAAAGAACATTTCTGGCATTTGTATGTTAAATGTGAGCTTCTGTAAACAAAATATACCCAGGAATGAATGATAAGTAATATATATAGAAGAAAAAACAAAATTATGAGAGCAGACACCATAACATTCAATTATTAGCACAAAGCTATTATGTGTATCTCCTTTTTCAGCTGTAAAGTGCTACAGAAAGCCTGTAAAATATTCAGATTGCTATTTTTCTCACTTTTCATTTCCCTGACTTAAGTCAAAACAAAAGCAGCCCTTAGAGGGACAAAGGCAGGAAAGCATGGATCTTTCAACTTCATAAGATTTTCATATATTTTCACATTTTAAATAAAAAATATGTGATCACAAAATAAGACACCATGAAGTTTCCTTTGGAGCCTTCCTGTCATAAGTGAAATGCTCCAAGGACAGAAGATGTGAGGTTGTTATCTATGAACACAGAGCCTTCTTCTCCACAGCTAAATGAGGTGTCACTCTCTCTTCCATGATAAGTGATGTCTTCTGAGACAGTTCAAGGTCAGATTGTTTCTGCCCACACAGTCTGTCGCAGCACTGACAAAATAAGACAGTTCTTGGAGGAAGGGATGAGACTAATTAGAGAAAAGAGAGGCCTATTCTAAACTTCTCTTTGAGGTACATGTGTACGCTCCAAGAAAGCTAAACAGAGACAACATCTCATTTATTCTTTTAAATGTAAAACCCTTAAAATCTAAAAACTCTTTTAAAACATTTTGAAAACCTTGGTCTATTGAATTTTATCGAAGCTGCAAAATGCTTAGAATTGACAGAGGCAGCTGCATCTCAGTTACAATCAGTGCTGAGGGAACACCTCCCACATGGCAACAGCCAAGAAAGCTTCTGCCACCAGATGAACCTTCATCGCCATCATTCTGACTTAATCATATGGATCTTCATGGGCTTGATAAATTATCTAGCTATGGAATCCCAAATGAAATGTCTTTCTTGAGTAAGACTTGGTGATTTCTTTCACCACTACTGCCTGCACCTCTTCCATCTTTCCCCCTACCTAAGCCATCCCTATTTCCTTGACAGGGAAATTGTGCTTTCCTCATCTTTTGCAGAGATCAATCAAAAGAAGAAGGGAATAGGAAGGTGATTCACAGGTAAACACTCAGAAAGGCCACAAATGTGTAAGTTGCCAGTATTGTGGAATTGAGCATAAATACAGGTCTGCGCTAGGAGTGGCAAAAGAGGAAGGAAAAGGTACAATGTGTTTAGCAGTTCTAAAAGAAACTGTAGGCAAGAAACAGCACATGAATTTGGGCATTGCACTAAAGACATGTAGATGTTAAGGGCCCTCCTACAAGAAACAGGAGATATAAATCTGCCCCCTCTTGAGATTCTGGTCTGCATCTTCTTCATGCTCCATTATTCATCAGACACGAAGTATTAGCGAAAGAGCATCCAGAGAAATTAACACCATGGAGGTTCAAGCAATGTTTCTGAAAAAGCTGTCTCTTTTTCCCCTTTGCATGCTGAAGTTACCTAGGAGAGCAAGTATTTCCTCAATTTTTACCAGGAAAAGACCAGGTAAAATTTTTAATCTTTTCTCTTTTGCAGTGTTTTGACGTCTGACATGGAGACATCTCAGTTAAAAATGTGTGTGTTTTTTGTTTTGTTTTGTTTTTTTAAATGAAATACTACAATGCAATTTTGGTGTTGTGCTTGTAAAGAAGAGATCTGTGAAGGGATAAGGAAAAGCAGAAACTAAGAATAAAATGGCAAAATAAGACTTAAGAACAGCACTTTGGTCCCAACTTACTGTCATTTTAGAAGCATCTTACATTAAAATAAATGATAATCCATTAAGAGCATCATAACTATACAACACATAATCTGACAGACTAGTAAGCAAGAACACGTACTTACTTTGTGATGACTATGATTGTTGAAGGTAGCTTTTGCTGCCGCAGCGCTCCACCCCGGCTCTTCTGGCTTAATCACTTCACAGGGCTGCCTGTGGGCCTGTATAAAATCCTCACTGCTTTTACCTGTCTTTTTCCCATCGAGGGAGACATAGCCATTATCAGTCTCTGTTGATTTATCTATCGAGCTCTTTGCTTTCTTAGATCTATTTTTGGAAAAAATATAGGCAGAGAATTAATGAATCTTCAGGCTTTTTTTTTTTTCCCCCTCAAATTAAATTCCATTTACCCTCCTCTACCCACGTTTTAGTTTTACTACTAATATAAACTCAAACTAACAAATAATTTAAAACTTGATGGAATATTTGTATTTTTTAAATTTTCCAATTAATGTCCATTTTTTCTTAAATTACTGCAAAATAAACAACTAGTGTTTGAAAGAAAATTAAGTAACTAGCTGGTGAAGAGAAAAGGCAATCTACGTTTCACAATTAAAACTTCATAGCAACCATTTGACAACATAAATCAGAAACTTTATATTCTATCTTAACTAAAAATAAGCAAAACAAAATTAAAAAAAACGGAAGAGGTCTGAGTTAAAGTTACTTTAAATGGTACTAATTCAAAAAAATGCCATTGACTGAAGTTGGAAATGAGTTTCATTTTACTACTTCAAACGCACAGCTTTGTGTTTTAATTCACTCTGCTTAGCAGACTTGTCAGTAAGCAGATGATTTACGCTTTCCCATATATTTCTGGGGAAGCTCTAAGATGCAAGAAGATTATCACTTTTTTCCCCTTAAAAAAAACCTTTTAGTATTCACACTAAGAACTGCCGTTAGGAATCCTTGGACAGCACCAAATTGTGCTACATTAACGTCCACGGGAAGGCATAAGGATAACACGAGATAAGAAAGCAGATCCTAGAGCCTACTCGCTAAGGACAGGACCTCTTATTGCAGAGCATATAAATATTTTCTATAACAAGAGCTCAACACAAGGCTGAAATCTATCCAGCAAGACTCTGCAGTAGTGAAAGAATATGACAATATATGCAACAGCCTTGTCTTTAATGAGGGAGACATTCTGTCTGGCATTGGATTACTCAGCAGAAGATTGAATTACTCTTTAATATGCACTTCTTATGAATCAGGATAGTTGCCTCATACCCTTCCTGATACAAGGTATTTTACACACACAAGGGAGACCTGAACACAAAAAGGCTGGGGAGAACTCAATAAAATGGAACAAATCCACCATCTCTTAGATTATGGACACTCTACTCCTTCCTGGGAAACAATTTTAATTTATTTGGGTTTTTTGGTCTTGTATGAAGCAACATGTAACCAGAGCTTCAACTCGGAAGCTGCACTGCAGAACTTACCTACTATTCCCTGTATTTTTCCTAATAAATGAGCACAAAACCATCATAAACACTCTTGGTGAATATTATGTATTTCCATAGATTAAGTTTTATTGTAAATTTACAAAGGTGAAAGGACAGTAAGATGCTTTAGGATGTTTCATGGTGTATTTAAAACTATAGATTCCACTTAAAACTCCAGAAAATTATTTGCAAAAAAAAGTAAAAAAATCAAAATGACAAACTTTAATTCACTACGCAACATTATGTGAAAATTTAATATGCCATAATGTTAACTGCTCTAAACAAATATTTGAATGACATTTGAATGCCCTACGTAAAAGAGCTTCAAAACATGTCTTAGGAAAAGGGACGAATGTCACTTTGCAGCTTCCTTGCAATGGGGTTTTCATGAGGATTTCTTAAGGCAAAAACATCGCCAGGTTAGGTAGCCCACGTGCCCCACACTGAGCTCCTGCTCCCACTCTGCCCTTCCACTGCGCTGACCCAGCTGTTCAGCTGTGAGAAAAAGTGAGCTCAAACTGATCTGTGTGATTTCCTCTTCAGCTGGACAAGTTTCTGACATGACTCTCCCTCCAGACAAATACAGAACTGTGTCTCTAAAAATGAATGGGCAACAAGTGACTAAATGCTACTTATAGCGGCTTGAAGGATCAATGTTGCCAGATGTGAAAACTTTCTCAGTCACTTTGTCCTCCTCACTCTTTGAGGACAGTGCATACGTTAAGCAGGCGCCACTGAGGCTTCAAATCTACGTATACCAGTCGCAAAAAGGTTTAAAGAAATCCTAGAGTGAGTTCCACACTGCCCTTCCTAACTGGAAGGGTTCCTTGTGCTCCCTGGGGAAGAAAATGGGAAAGAGAAGAAAAAAAATCTCTACTAATGCCTGCTTTCTTATAGCAAATGACTTCTCTGAACACAGAAAACGTTCAAAAGTTTGCAAAATCACAGTCCAAACATACTAGAAAATAATAATGCATATACAGAAGAAATCATTTGGAAGTGGGTTTACCCACAGAACAGTGAAGGTACCTCATACTGCTCTGCCTGTCAGATCTAGCCTGCCCTACTTAGTGAAAAACAGAACAAACTCCTCCCTCAGAATTTTTAGATATTTTAAAATTTTCTCCAGAGCTACAACTAGATGTTCTCAGTATGTAACGTAACACAGGATAAGCCTCACCAGAGGTTAGGAGCACATATCACAAGTACGACAGACAAGTTAGTGTCGCAATACGTAACATGCACAACAAAACATCAACATAACAACTTGCAGTATCCCTTTTCCTAATTTCATACCATTAAATTAGTATATTTTCTCCTGTTAATAAATGCTGATGTATACAGCTCACATATCTGTATTACAGGTTACTTACAACCATTTTTTTTGACGCCCAGAGAACTGCATGAGCAAAATAGCTCTGGAACATAATGACAGGTGTTTCTTCCAATCAGTAAAAAAAATGAATTTTCAGTGTTTACTTGTAAAGTATATTTTGTGCCTATTTGAATCTTGAATGCTTTTCATCCAGAAAAAGTATGCAATCTGTTAACAGTGATAGACAGCTATAAAAATTCTGTCAGAGAATTAGAAGCCGCTAATGCAATGAAGTAAAAATTAAACAGTCGAATATTCTCACTGGATTAAAGGGAACTAAGTTGGTTCATCTTTGGTAGCCCACACAGAAAATCCCAGCATCAAAATATTACCTAACACACAAACAAAAAGCAAACATAAAAGAAAGATAATTCTGTATGTCTTGAACTTTGATGCATCAGCATTGGCAAATTCAGGAACAAGAACACATCCGTGTTCAAATACTGCACTCAATTTACTATTAAAAAACAAACCAAATCCAAATCAATAAAGGTTTATCTAATCATTAGATCAATGTTTACTCTTTCAGAAAAGGGATAGTGCATCTCTAACACATATGTAGCCTTAAATAAATACAAACCCTGATAAAAAGAAAGCAGCATGCCAGATATCTCTGAAGACAGCGCCAATACTGTAAGAGGTGCTTGTACCGTAGCTCTGCACTGTTCCCTCCTGTGTGTTATCTGTGGTACTAGAGCCATCTCCTTCCCTATGTACTTCCAAATGTGCTGCTCTCCTTAATTTCCTTCATTAGGAGAGAGTAAAATTGGAAGGTAGCTTTATAAATGCAATCTATTAGTTCTATAAGGTGTTCAGCAGTTTTAGACATGCAATAAGAAGCAATATATCAAAATACTTTGCTAAAGCTTTATCGTGTTGATTTAATAAACTCTATTTAATAAAACTTAGCATAACAATCATTCATTTTTATAACCCTTACCCCAAAGATATATTTCAACTGATCACTAGAGGTTTAAATCTGCAAAATATGAAAAACTTACTGCAGGTTTTCCCATTTTAATGGGACAAACTCACTGTAGCAAAACATACTCAGTCAGTGAAGTGCTGAAAGACTTAATTTCTGTGTCTCCAACTGCATTTTTTCATGTACATTGCCCACAAAAATCATTAATCATTTCTCTAGGAAGCTCTAAAACTAAATTTGCAGTAATATAAATACTTTAATGCCACTAACATTCAATTACAAGCTGTTTTGAGGCAAAATGTCAAATTCAATGCATTAAAAGTTAACTTTAAAGCATTCATTTAAGTTAGTTCATCACAAAATTTAGAGAAGCAAACTGCAATTTACGTTTCATTTTTAAAATTTCAGACAAAAGCAGAGCATCAATTACTCATCTCTTGCAGAGCACAGACTGTAAACTCCCACAATTTTCCATGCATGTTCTTCGGAAGAGTTTAACAATCCTAAATTGTAAGTATTTGGCTACGGACTATACCTTCTTCTTTTGCCCCCCGTGCTGGGAGGAGGCTTAGGAGTTCGTGTTGAAACTATCTGGCAGTGCACAGTTCCCAGCAGCAACATGAGCCATACTGGCCCGATTACTTCAGTCAGAGGTATATTATGTGGGCTCCGCGCCGTGCAGAATAACACCACAGCAGCAACTGCAAGAAAAAGGACAGTGAAGTTTAGCTCAACACTTGCAGTGGCTGGAATGGCCACCTCTTCAAACTACTGGATTTTCTTAAAATCAGAAGCAGTCACATGTAGTTCTTTATTTGTATTTTAAACCAACTAATGTAATTCTTGGATGAAAGGGTAATAACTGCAATGATATAGAGAATAAGCAGGATTTGAACAGTTGCAGATTCACTGTGGAATCATTTTTTTCAACTTCTCTTAATATCCACCTCTCTTCTTTTACATCTGTCACAGTAGAGCTATTGCTCAAAAGAGATGGTAGAATAAAGTAAAGGGCAGGGGAGAAACTAATTTGCGAAGCTAGATGTGATATGACAAACATTTTAAATTAGCTGAAGCTTCAGTAGAACGTAAAAAGCAAACAGCACAAAGCAGCCCAGGCCTAAAATACCACAAAACCAGGAATGGGCTGCCAGAAAGGCCGTAATCTTTCCATCCTTGGGGATATTCCGAACAGGTGGCTGTGTCCGGTTCACCTTGCCTTGAGTAGGCGTTTGGCCAAGGTCATCTCCAGAGGTTCCCTTTAACCTCAGGTGTCTCCTGTGACCGAGGCTACACGTCGGTGCGAGCATAGGAACGACCAATACACTAGGGACTCCCTATGTACCGTAGCAGAAAGTATTTTAAATTTCCTGTTTCAAACAGAGGACAAAACTGCTAGCACAGACCGACATTACGGAGGTCCTTGTATGTGTATTTTGTAGTAATGAGGAAAGATCAAAGAAACCATGTGAAATATGAGGTAGCCCAACTGAAGTGGCTGGGACATGTGATGGGAAAGGGCACAGGCTCCAATTCCCCAGCTAACTTAGTAACCCTGTGACCAGTTTTTTCCTATATAAATCAGAGCTCTTTTAGCTCCTATAAATAGGACCCAACCACTTCTGGAACCCACAAATGCCCTTGTTCATACAAACAAATAAATCAATATATCTAAGAAAGCAGCTGTACATTTCAAGGATCAAACAGCTTATCTTTTAATATTTAAAACATTGAAATATATTTCTAAGAAGTTTGAAAGTACACATACACACACATAGAACAGACTGATAACATTCATTTCACCCCAATAAGCAATTGTTTTATCACTGTTAAAGTTTCTTTGGTTCATACTCAAGAAATATATGATAGAAACACACTGTATAATTTTGCTCTTAAGGTAAGCTTACTCATTATAATGTTGAAAGATTTTCAAAGTAATAACTAAGTCAGAGCACAACTTAGGTGATAAGGAATCAGAAGAGGAGGGTTTTACTTCTGTTTTTGTTCACTGACTCATTATACGACCTTGGGGAAGAAACTCGCTTCTCTGCAGTTCTCTTATCTTCTCTTACCCTTTGCTAATCAGACCTAGTTACACTAGGGGAAACCAATGCAAATAAAATAAGGAGTTTTCTCTACAGGCAAGGAGAGAGTTCTTTTCTGTAGGTTTATGTAAACCTTGGGAAATATCCCACTAAGCTAATCAACTTCAAACCAATAACTGAAAGCAATGGCAGCTTATAAATCCATACAAATACTTTAGAATTGAAAAGGTTGTTCAGCTGAATATCTATAACAAAAATCGAACCATATTACTTGACAATAGTACCAAATAAGAAGTTTTACTATGGCACAAAATTTAGATTCAGCACACAAGTGCTGAATGGCCACTGAGGTTTTTGAAGTATTTTGTCATTAATAGATTACTGGTTCTGGCATGGGGTTTCTGATCTTGTATGAACTGAAAACCAGAAAACACCTTCAGAGTAAAATAAAACACAATGTTAAGGTTATATATGGTAAAAAGAGAGGCTGCACTTGGCTCAAATGTGTGCTTCACTCAGTCTTATTATTTTGCTACTTCTTTAGCACCTTATGAAGGCTCCACAGACTGAAAATGGGTACATTCAAAAAACAAACTTAGGCATTAGAATAAAAATTAGAATAATAAATTTTAATAATTATAAGGACAGTGACATAATAAATATAATGCCAAGTGTTTCTCAAAATAAGTTGCCTAGAAACGTGGCAATGAACTAAGTATAATTCATGCATCTTACCATCTATAATGCTATTGTGATAAAAATGACTAGTACTGTGGGATCACTTAGCATAACGCACACAAAGGGCAGTATATTCAATACTACTCCTAGAGTACCTATCCCCTAAATGTGGTAAAGGGGCGGTTCTGAGAGAAGGCCACGTGAGTATTTGTCAGGATGTTTCATGTCTTAGAGCTCCAGCACTGGGAAATTGCTTACACATGATCTCCAAGCCACTAACATCATCAAAAGGAGACACTTTCCCCTTTTTCCATGTTTCTAATTTCACATATTTTTCCAAAAGATACAGTGATTCACAACAGTACGGACAGATGGCAAAATAGCAATTCTGTGTTACCACCAAACTGCAGTGGAAAAATGTGTCCATCATTTAGTTTCTCAGTGTGCTTCACGCGCTCTCAACTTTCAGCAACCTTCTATTCCCTTTCTGCTGTCCTCACTTCTGATAAGCTTTGTCTCCTGTTGGCCTTCACACCATTAAGATACCAACTCATTACATTACATTCTTCCCTTTCTAATTTTCCTCTTATGTATTATATATAAATTAAGAGGAGCATAAAATCAGATCTCTAGAACTTGATATTCGGTGCCGTATTTAAATGTTGAAAACTGCCATCTGTTTGGCAACAGATGCCCAGAAGTCCCTCTATAATCTAGGAAGTATAAAACTGCCTAGACAGACACATACTATCCCCATGTGAAATGAGGAAATCAGCAGAAGGACACGGGACAAACAGCCTGTTACTTGTCAGTCATTCAGGAGCATGGCTGAGGTTTGACTAAAGTATAAGCTAGAAGCTTAATTGCACCTAATATAAGCAGGTAACATGTGGAAGACCAACTGGACACTGGTCAAAGATCATGCAAGCAGGTTGCACACAGTCACACCTGGGCAGGTTTGGCATTTCCTGCTTCTTGGTAAGAAGCTCTTGAACTGCAAAAGTATCAGAAAGATTAAAAGCCCGAGACAAAATACACAACCCAAGCCAAAAGGCCCTCAGTCTTGAAATAATATAGACCTGGAAATCTGACTTATATGCCAAGTAATAAAGAAAGCCTGTGAGGAAATCCTTAAATTTTCAAGACATCCCCTTTATACATTGAAAAAAATATTAATCCAAAGAAACGTGTTTGGGACTGCAAACAATTTCAGAAAATACTGGAATGAACTGTAATAACACACAGTGAACTAAGTCTGATGCAAAATTTATCAGATGTCTGAAATAAGCCAAATGGTTAAAGCCCTGTCCAATCGAGCCAGCTCTACCTTGAAGTAGATACAGAACAAGCAGCCAGAAAAAGATGACCCTTGATGTCACCTGGAGCCACCAGCCATAGAAGAACGGAAAGAACACAACTCTCACAATGCCTTTGCGGGTCAGAGATGTCCAAGGACTTTCTGGTTTTGCTTTAGCAAAAGCAGACCCTAAAAATAAACAAACAAATAATAATAATTAAAAAAAAATGGAGAGAATGAGAGAGATTTTAAATAAGGTTAAAAATTTGGATATAATTTATTGTTATGGCTAATTATAACTTCAGTTGCTGCTATGAGAGTCGTTAAGATGTTGAAAAGAAATACCAGATTTAGATAAATAAGTGTACTGAACTATTGAGCCTATAAATAACTGCATCCTCAATTCAAAAGCTGACTACCATCATCAGAACCTTCTAACACCATTTAGACTTTCGCAATGCATGAGTAACCAAACACTGCCATTTCCTACCATGTCAAAATGATCCGTTTACTTTGTAGCACTAAGCTATCAGAAACTTAGTCTGAAGCACCAAGTCACACGAGGAATTCACCTGTCCGCGCGGGCAGAGCGGAGGGTCAACACGTGCAGCTGCCCCAGCCAAGTGACCCAGGAAACTGCCCGGGGCCGCGCGGCGCCGAACGAGCAGGGAAACCACGTCTGGAGGAGGCGCCCCTGTCTCTCCTCCTACCCCGTGTCTGCTCTCACTCACTTGGCCTTTTTTTTTTTTTTTCCTTCTCTTTCTCATATCCTCCCATCATTTTTTCACTGCTCTAGATCTAGTTTTCTAATAAAATTTCCTGAAAGACTGTTGTTATTTTAAAATCTTAATTAGACAGATCTATGAATGAATTGAAATCGTTACAGAAGATGGTTATTTACATTTGTAGGCCAGTAAAAATATACTGAATTACACGTTTTGAAGTCCAGACTCTGTACTTGCTCAACTGCTCAATTTCATTTCTGTGTTAAGCGATGTTTAGGGATATTCCCAGATTCCTTCATGAAGCAGGTATTTGGACCTCAACTTTATTTGTCTAGATTTGCATTTCTCTATTGAAGTTAGTCCAAATAAAACCAGCATGAAACTCATGTAAGACTAAGCAGATGAATTAGCTGGTGATTCAGGATTCATGATGCTCACTAGAGGATATTCAAACACTACCATGCTACCCATAAAGAGAAGCAATAATACATGTAAAGCAATAATAATTTGCCAAAAAGATCACACTTTCTTTCTGCAGACCTCTTCGGTACTTACTCAGAGGGATGCAATACCTCAGCCTAACTGCGTGCTGTTTCATTAATGAAAAAGGGTAACACCTGCTTAGAGCTAACGAGGATGGGACTTAAATTATGCGCAGGCTACTGAGAGGCAGGGCCAACACAGCACGTGCCTCTGCTGCGCATCTCTGCTCTCCTCACAGCTGGCATCACTGAGCTCTGCGCTCATACACCTAAAACACGTCTTCTATTCCCATCTCCTGCAGGCTTTATCGGTCACAAGTCAGGGGGGCACTTGCACTAAGGAGCACTACTACAGCAGCTTTTAAAACCAGCCCCTTTACTTAAAATTTGCTGTATTTCATTACGTAGAGGGTAGATTTTTTTGATGGCTATTTTCTTCCCTGACAAATACTATCAGACATTTCATAGAACAGCTAAAATTTCAACAAAACTTCAGCTGATTAGAGATCTGAATCAAAAGAGCACTACTTGAATACATTCAGGGCATACTGGCTCCTGGGTTCATGTAAAAAACACCAAATAATATTGTTTTCCAGCCTTTGGAAGGCATGCAGGAAATGAAACAGAGAGGTGGCTTTTTGCCTTTTCTTGTCATTTCATTCTTTAACTCAGGAAAGAAGCATCCAAGGCCTACATATTTTTTACAGCCCAAAAATTTCAACATAATATTTCTTCTAGTTGTCAGAAGAGTTGGAAGAACATCTAAATATATATAAAAACAGGAGATTTCTAACCCTAATTCTAATACTAGGATCTAGGACAATTAATCTGTTTCTCTACTCAAAATCTAAATATCAAAATTAAACTGGAAGGCATTTTGAAATTTTAAGCTAGAGACCTTCTTTAAATGGTATTACCTATCTGTTCCCTAAACAAGCACATGTATTCAGCTTTTGTATATATTTCCTAACCCACTCTTGTTACAAGACATAGGACAACAGGGGGCCGTTAGCCTGGTTGGCTTTTTTTGTATATCACCCTCGAAACTTGGAACTGCTGAGAAATTCAGTTTTTTTCCAGCTCAAGACCTACCTCTCACAAGATCAACATCTATGAGGTCTGGTTTCACATGTCCTGTTTTCTTTGGTTTGTTTCTCAAACCCTGCAACACGCAAATACTGTCAGAATACATTCACACAGAACTCAAATTGCAGAAGAAAAACACTGTTGTGGTCAGTAATTATATTTAACCTATATTGCAATCAAGAATTCAGACAAATACACGAACTTTATACATAAAAAGTAGTGCGAAATGAATGTTCCAGGAAACACGGAACCATATATGTCTTTTACACAATCTTGCCAGTTACTGACCATAAGGTAGTTTTCAAACATGATTAAGCTCCAAGCGCTCATTTCCCAGGCTTGGGATTATGCAAACAACGTATTATGCACACACTTGCAAGAATTAGTAATATATTTCTATCAAGTTTTCATAACTTTTGCCACAAATTACTTCCCTGAAATTCTTTTTTATGTCCAGTTAAACTTCACAAAATGTGCGCTATGTAATTCCTTATCTCAAAAATGTAACGAACTACACTGCACATTCAGACCCACTAAAAGAAGCAAGCTCCACTACTGCAACTGCAAAAATCTGGAAAAGTACCAAATTTTTCTTAACACTGGATAAAGAGGAAAGGAAAGAAAAACAAATAAAAATAAATAAAAAAGACTCCTGACCCACTAAAATAAAAATAACACATACATAATAAATAAATAAAACAGGGAAAAGTTTCTGTTTATTCTGTCTTTTAGAAACAATATCTTCCTTGACTGAAGAGCCAAGCACAGTCCTGCATAACTGTCATGTTTATTTTTAGATCTAAAATGTGATACTATACTCTCCAGCTCGAGAGAGAGATGGTAAGTTTATTCTAATTCCATTACACTGTGCTCTTAATCACATTACCCAAAACTGACCCAAAGAGCACAACTCATACAGAGTAAAATCTAACAAAGAAAAATTAGTATGGGGATGGAATTATGATGGAAAGGGTTCAACAGCATTCATTCAAAAAGGAGTTAAATTCACTGATAAATTTTAAATTTAATTATCAGCTTGCATAAATGTGTTTATATTCATTAAACATAAGCATGACATTGAGGTGAATGTGTAAAAATGAAATGAACATTAATTAAAAAAAGATCATGGAAATTTGGCCATTTGCTTTTCTTAAACCTGATGTCAGCTGGATTTATTTTTCACACTGAAATGAAAGAGCAGAACTGTTCACAATGAAATAAAAACAAAGTGATCATTAGATATGTCTATTAAGAAAAAAAATAGTGTTGGCATAAAGGAGCAGAAGTAATAATACTTTAAGAGTAAAGTAATAATAAAAATAAAAAATAATACTTCTGTAGAAGTAAAACATAAATAGAACAAAATTAGCTTTAAGGATGGCAAATGAAGAAAAACAGTAGTACGGGAGAAAAAACAATGCAGAGCTTCAGGTGGAAATAGTTCTTTAGAGAAATCTTAAGACTACACTATTTTATGTGGAGGGTAAAACAAGTCCACAATTAGCATCATTGTAATTCCAGAGCTAGTTATAGATTCTTGTGAAATCTTGCATTAGCAAGCTACTCATTTGCAAAATAAAAGATCTGTATCTTAGAAATAAAATGTTGTATGATAGAATAATTCTCAAACATATTTTGAAATCTAAATAGAGAGTTGAATAAAAGAAATAAACCCTCCCCCACCCAAGTCCTATGAGCAATCTACTGCCATGGCTAAGATTATGGTTTTTGTCTTAAACACAGAATTTTGGGGGGAAAAAAAAAGGGAAAAAAATTATTTCAAGCGAGCAGTGCAGTATCCTTCACGGGCAGAGCTGAGGATACATTTTTAACACATCTCCTCGGGATGCACGGGCTATGCTGAGCTACGGTGCCTGCTCTGCACCGCAGCCCCTGGAAGAATCCCATTCCCTGGGATGCCCTTTCTGCACTCCTCAGTGTGCCACAGACACCTGCAATGTAGGTGGAGAAGAGCTTCAAACCAGGGTCAACCAAAAAAATTCCTTCCTCTGTCAAAGTCTCATTCAGTTCAGGCCAATCCAGCTAGCTCACATAGTTTCTTTTTGACATCGAATATTATTTGGCTACAAAATAGCAAAAAATAAATATTTTAAGTATTTTTTATTTAAGCTTTATACTGTTAAAATTTTCTCTTGCGCAAATTTTTAGGTAAACCTTTGGTAAACTCTTAATAGGGCAGCTCTAAGCAATGCATTTATATTGGAAACAGATTTTTCCACTCAAAGATAGTGATTTGCAGTGAAGTTCACTCAACTGCAGTAGTGTTGAGATTAAAGTTGTCATCTACAACACCTGAACTCAGAGTTTGCTTCTGAGTTATCTTTATTACACAAAACTCTGATAACACAAGCTTACACAAACAGTATCATTTCTCCTATTGTGTTTAACTTGGTGATTATTGGACTACAGACTCAAACAAGCTGCATTTCTAAAAGGCACAGGGCCCTAACTGCAAGCTATTATTTTTAATCATGTCCTACCACACAGTAGTTAGAAGAATTTCTGCCGTAAATGGTGACTGGTTTTCATGGTCATTGAAAGGACACTGAAAATTGGCAATATGTGAGGGCCCTGGTTTGAAGTTCCTTGCACTCCTTGCCAAGGGTATTTCTGAAATCTCTCTCCGCACACTCCTGACAAATGGTGCTATTCCATGGGATTTCTGTGAATGTGTTAAAACAGGCCAGACAGCTCTCAAGGTGAAACATTCTTGGCACTAGCTATGAGAGCCGGCCACGCTACTGGCACAGCCAGCACTGTATGGAAAACACAACCCCGAGCATACCAGAGAGCCTGGGCCACAGCCACCATGGGACTTCTTGACAGAGAAGCCTCTTAGGGATGTTTTTATCCCTTTGGTGCCTCCACGAGGGCAACCACTGAGGAAGTCCGATTTAAAAAAACGAGAAGTTTTCTTGCAACAGCTGCTCTTGCTTGCTCGCAGCAGAGCTGCTCCTGGGTGGAGCAGAGCGCTTAGCTCCTTGTTTGAGAGCATTTACAATCAAGACAACTTCTGCACCAGGACCAGTGACATTAACAAGGTCATTTGAGCAGAGCCTTGCAGCACGGCTCCCCTGAGGGCCACGGGCCGCCCCGGGAACCCCAGCTCTGGCACAGCCCCAGGCGCCGGATCTTTTCCGAGGAGCTGGGAGCAGCGCAGGGCCCGCGGGAGCTGCCTCGGGGCTGGGCACCGCGACGGAGCTGCCGCCCGGCCCCGACCCCGGGGCTGCTGCAGCGCTGGGGGGACGGGGCTGCACAGCAGCACCTTGAAACCCGGGCGTCCACGTCGGGAAGCGCTCGCTGTAAAAATATCGTCGCTGTAAAAATATCACCGTCTCCAATTTAAAAGTTTATTCGCACATTTTGTACAGAAGTCAGGACACTTCTCAAGTTGGGTCAGTTATAGTTTCCACATTAACACAAATAAATCTCCCTAATGGATTCTGCTTGGCTATTTAAGCACCAGGGCAAAGGCAGGGGAAAGGAGGGACAGGAAAAGTGAAGCAATGAATATTTTGCTGATGTTAAACATTAGGAATGGCTTTGAAGCTCATGCAGTAATAGCATATTTCTTGTGTGCAGTATTTGAAGAAAAAAGGTTAATGGCAAAAGAGAAGTTAATGGCAGTAACTTCAATATCATGAAACATGGCATAATGTACAATCCATAAAACCATTACAGACAGGATTGATTTTTTTCCCCAATAAAAACAATTTAGCACTGTGTCAGACACTGATGGCACTGTTAGTTAAACCAAAATGCAAAAAAAAAAAAAAATCCCACTGTTAAACTGCTTGTTCAGGGGTACAAAGCCTGGAGTACTCACCAGTCTAATAAACTGTACAAAACAAGGACAGCATCATAAAGGAGGAAAAGTAAACTGGAGGGATAAGGTAACTAACTGAAAGTAAAGAGAGCTCAGAGAACTGAAATTAGAAGTCATCATAAAGAGAAAGATAAACAAAGGCACGAAAAACTAAACTTTGCTTTAAGATAACCAAAACCAAAGTAAAATTGTACCAAGGTACAGAAAGAGATGCAGAGCTTTAAATACCATAGATAATTAATTATGTAAAATAAGTAGGGCATAATATGTCAGTTATGTTTGGTTACTGTCCAGAAATCTAATTTGCCAGTTCTAATGAATAACACATGCATTGTAAACAACATCAGCATACCCAATTTGCAAAATGTTGAAATGCTAGAATATTATTACCTTTATCTCTCTTTGCTCTACAGATTTTTCCCATATTTGTTGATCATAGGCGCCAATCTAGGAAGAACATAAGAAATCTAAATGAGATTTCAAGAGACACAGATCAAACAAAATCAGTTTATCTTCTATAAAGGCAAGCAAGAAGATAAGGGGTTATTTCCTCGGAGAGGCTCGTTGACAAAGAAATCTTTATCTTCTCCGCTGGTCTCTGCTGGGCTGGATCTAGCTAGTCTGCAAATTAGCTGAGAAAGAAGGGGAGAAGCACGCGCACAGCAACAACCTCCATGCCTGAACCAGCAGGGCTATAGATCCTTCACCCCCATCTCGTCTTCAGCTTCATCCCTGACGGCTGCACAGGGCCAAACGTGGTCACACTGCCCACGTGTCCCAGAGTATGGGCTGGGGAAAACTCACAACATGCAAGAGCCTCAGGAAGGGCTCTTTTCCCACAGAGGCACTGCTAGAATCATACTCATCCACAGAGGCAGCCAAAAGTGTTAAATAATCTTTCCTTTATATCACACTGCTGTTTTTCAGAAAAGAGGCATTACTTAAAAGCTGTCAGTTTTCAGGTTTCATAGATAAGACACTCGCATTAAGATGACAGTCTATTTACTTATGAAACTCTCTAAAGATCTCACTTTTAGATAAAAAGTTTTTAATTAAAAGTTTTAATTACAAGGAATTGTTTTCAGCGCTAATCTCATCAAAGTATTGTGGAAAACCTTGCATATTTATGGGAGCAGAGTCAAAGAAAGATAAAGATTAGGAAAGGCTAAAGCTTGCTCCTGCGAGCTCTTATTAAAACCCTAGCGCTAAGCCTAACTTTGATGAAGGAGCTCTGCCCTGTTAAATAAGCATCACCCTCCTCTTTCAGATACCTACATTAAATTTAAGAAACTGTTGCACAATTGCTTATACAATCAAGTTGCTCTCTTACTGCCAGATATTTTGAATAAGACTAATCTTAGGCTTCAGGAACTTGCGCTCAAGAACAAGTCAATACACGAGGCCATATATTCAAGTACTAAAAGAAACAAGCAGAGACAGCAGATTTCTTTGGAATTGCCAGCAGTGTTTCTAGATAATACCTGGCAAGGATGTGCTCTGCTGCACGGGGCTTACACCCTTCCTGGACATCACTCGTGCCCCTCACACGCAGGATCACTCACTGGTGCCAGCAGAGCCTTCCCAGGCTCTACACTGGCTTAAAAAGAGTTTTCACGACTACCTAGACACTTGGTGGCTAAGCAAAGTGAACCCCAACCGCCTTAAACAAACCTGTTTGAGATTAGCTTCACTGCACAAAATAAGACTTCGCTGCTCTTTTCATTTTGCAAATGATAACAGACATTAAAAGTCTGAGCATGAGACATCTGAAACCAGAAAATGTTGTTTATTTGTCTTTTTCTATTTCAGTCTTGCGTTTTAAATTAGAAGCCATAATAAAACCAAACCAAAACAAAGTCTTCTTGGTCAAAAAGGATCTTATGATCAGTATAAATATAACAAGGTTTATACAGAAGTCAGAATAAGCCAAAATACTCCTGGCTAAACTAGAGTTGTGCTCTGTGTCTCCAAATTTGACTTGCCAAAAACTTAAATTTTATAGAATCAGTAAAAGCCCAAAGCATATCTAAAATGGGAATTGAGGACAATGTAAAACACTATGCATTTATTCTCCAGATGAGAAAAATTATTGCACCAAATTATTCATGTTCAAATTTAATTTTCTCCATTCACAAGATCTAAGCTCCCAGACAATTTCTAGCTTGCTAAATTAAGAACTGAAAAATCTACTGGCCCTGTGGTAAAAAAATATAATAGTATTATGAAATACTTTGGACCTTGCATTTGAAAAAATATTTTAGACCGGGGAAAATGTGAGAGCCAGGCACTCTGTTGGGCAGAAATAAGCACTTGCTACAAAAAAAAATGGAAAGTCAAAAGTCAAAAGGCAGTTTAAGAGCAAACTCAATCTGGAGAGCAGCCAGCAGCCAAAAAGTCAGCATCTTGACTAAGCACTCCACCCAGACAGTTTTATTAAATTGTTCCAGCCTCTTCTGCAAACAGATTTTGGACAGAATATTGGGTCTTCATGAAACCTACTGGAAGAGAGCCTTTTCTGAGTATTTTCTGAGTATTCCCCTCCTCAATTTCCAAAAACATTTTCCGATAAAGGCAGAAAAATGGATACAAACCTCTCTCTCTTCTTCACAAGAAACAAATGCGGAAGCCTTCGTGCCAATAAAAGTCCAAAGCAAACTCTGTATTTCTAATTCCATTCATAGCTCAAACTCTTTCAGAGTTCAAAGAGCCTTTAAAAGAACATTCTTTTTTTAAGCAAATAACAGTCCGCTTGTTAAAGGAGCCCTGGGAAGCACAGAAGGCTGCTTGACTTGAAGTCTGGTTTCTGTATATTTTCCGGTGAGCGTTATTTTTCCTTCAAGACTAGGCAGCAGCGTCTGTCTCTTTATAAAGAAGGAAGAGCAGGGATTTTTAGTGCTCAGATTTTTCTTTTAATCCTGCTCTATAAAGCATTTCTTTTGGCAGGAGGTGGAATTAGAGCGACAAGGACAACTGTAAGGAAGATGGTCTTTCAAAATTATGTGATTAGACTAGTAGTTCTGGTCGGTCACCCATAAACAACTTTGAATATCAAAATCTGAATGCAGGGCTATTAAATAAGAGCATGCTGTTGCAAACTAAAAAGAGCTACAGAGATGATTGCAGAGAGCAAGTATTAAAAAAAAAACCCACTTCTGAGAGACTGTTTTCTACTTATTTTCATCCTTTCTTTGATGCTTTAAGGATGTTATGGAGGCACTTCAGGGACTGAGCACCCATGCTCGCTTCCCTTTTCGCAGTCTTCACAAGCACACTGCCCTTGCAAGCTGCTGCAAAGAAATGCTTGCAAGCAAACACATTATTATAAAGTAGTATACTGGCATATTTTACTTCCCATGCTAAGAAAAATAGTAGGACCCATGTTACTAACAGGAAAAAAAAAAAAAGGTAGAAGCATCATGAGGTGTTTGACTTTTGCTGCTGCTACCGCAGGTGCAGCAGAGCTCGGCGGCAAGAGCTCCACAGTGACAGCGGCTAAGCTGCATCGTACAGCAACCGCCAGCCAAGAGGGAGAGAGCACCTGCACACAGCTGGGAAACGGCGCGAGCAGGAACTGCATTCTTGAATGAATTCAAGGAGGTAAGCTAACACCAGCAAACCTTCCCAGCTTTAAATTGGCTGAAAATTGGGTGAAAAAACCAGGCAACTCCATCTTCGGAGAGTTTTGATTTACAACTGTTTACATCTAAATTACTTTTTGTGTCAAATCTAAATATTAAATTTTCAAAATGTTCAAACACAGGCTCTGGCTCTTCATGGTTCATCTGCAGGTCACTGAAAAGAGACAGCTGCAAAATAAATTCAGTTCCAAGCACAAGCTTCTAGAAATAGGATTTTCAGGCTTCCTTCTTTAAGTCTTTAGTATACACAAAACTTGATCCAAACTAGGTTTCCCTTAATACAGAAGTGTCCCCAGGACTCCAAAGGTGCTTGAGCTTCCAGTGCCAGGAACCCTTAATTTGAAGGTTCAGATCAAGCCCCGCACCTTTACACTCCTGAACCTACCAGCTCCATTCCAATTCCCTTATAGCTGCAGGTCCTGCAGCATCACAGGTCCTACAAAAACTTTAAGTACAAAATACAGCTTTCAAGTATACAGCGTGCACCAATAAATAAGATTCTCCCCACCCTATCCAAAACAGCTACCTTTATCATATTTGATTAGGGAGATGCCTGGTTTCAGCAAACATCTGGTAAAGAAGATAAAGTCCCTTGCTTCCTCCGTGCATTTGCAAAACTAACAACTCGGGCAAGTTTATGCAGTCCTTGCGGCTCAGCATATGAGGGACTCCACACTGAAGGCTCAGTTTTCTTTCACAAGTAACATGACAAAACTGGCACAAAAATCTAAGCCTTGCTTGTGACACTTAGTTTTATTGGTTAAATTTAAATTGAAAATACATCTGGCTACTTAGATATGTCCATCAGTTTAAACTCACCATAATTTCCAAATTGTCACAATAACTTGGAGTGAGCTTAAAAGAACATACATAAGCATATACACACACAAATACATATATTGTCCATTTGTCACTTTTTTTTTGGGGGGGGGGAGCAGGGGAAGAAAGCGGGGGCAACTATGTAAATGGAAAATATCTACCAAAATATTTACCAAATATCCTACCATTCCAAGTCCCTAAATATCATCTTAACATGAAAACTTACTAAAAACGAGATCAAAATCTCATTGGTTTCACTGAAACCCTACGTATAAATAACCTTCTAACCTATTTCTCAGAAACAGGATAGGTAACAACAGGAGCTAACTGTTTAGGTTTAAAATTGCACTACTGTTTGCGAGCAGAAGGTTGTTTAATTTAGAAAAGCAACAAAAAACTTGGAGGTTTAGCATCCTGAATTGACTAAGAGTAGTTTTACACACAGGCTTACAAATATTTTTTTCTAAAAAAAAGTCAGGAAATGTTGTTAAATTGTAAATGCCTTGGCCTGGGATATTGGGCTATACAATTACTTCAAATAGCTTTTTAAAACATTTTAACCTCCACTATGTAAAGCACTGAGCCATCATTCTGCTAGTACAACTGACAAGGCAGATATGATCCACACATTTTCCTCTTCCTCTTTTTTCACAAAAATAAACTTAGTTCGCCCAATAAAATTAGGTCAGTACTGAAAGATAAAATTTAAACTGGTAACATTTTTTAGCCCAGCCTCATTACATTTTTTTCTTTTTTTAAGAGATAATATCTACTTTTTGAAGTGATCTAAAACAAAAACAATTATTTCTTCCCAATCGACTGCTTCAGAACACATATGATTACAATAGTTCTCACATCTAAAGTTGGGTTGGCACCTTGACAGTCTGTCTTTATAGCATCTCATGGCAATTAGCATAAGTAAAAGGTTAAGCTACTGAAACAGAGCCAATTCTAATTGCAAATAAAGCCCTATGCTAAGAGCCTTTGCGC